AGTTAACTCCTTGAGCATTGCGATGTGTTTTTCTCGGATATGCTACTCATCAAAAGGGGTATCGCTGTTATCACCCTCCAACTCGACGAATGTTTATCACAATGGATGTTGTCTTCTATGAAGACTTGATGTATGTTTTCGCTGAGCCTGAACTTCAGGGGGAGTACCAGAAAGAAATTCAGATTCTAGATTATAATTATCACACTTCTGATGAAGGCAAATCTCCTGAATCTAGAGACCATGATATGGGCATAAACTTGGATTCTAGTGGTGATGGCTCATAAGTTGGACCACTCAATTAGGAATTGGGCGAATTGGATTCGAGTGGTATAAGTTTGGATCAAAGTGGTGATGAAATCCCAAAAACGGAAAGTATGGCTCCAACTCCACCGTTGTCCGAGTTTGAGTCCCTAGGAACTGATATATCAAACCAATCGCTTGTTGAGGATGTTCCTGATTTAATGTATGAGCCACTCAGAAAACAATTATCACAACATCACACTAGAGGTTTTCCTAAACCCATATATGAACCAAAACTTTCTAGCAAAGTTAAGTATCATATGATTCATTATGTGTCAAACCATCGTTTTTCATAATCAAATTTGTCATTTGTAAATCAATTATCTACTGTATCTATTCCTAACAGTGTGTAGTAAGTGAGATACCCCTCGACTCCAAGACATGGGTTGATCAGGCCCAAGCCCAAACCCGAGGGAATATCGAACAATTAAAGTATTTAGCAAGCATTTGAATACAAAAAATAAATAACTAAGAATAAATAAAAGAGCTGAAGGAAAAACTAAAATAATCAAACCTTGAATTAATAAAATAATCCTCCATAAAAATAATTCAATAAAATCCTCCAATAATAAATCCAATCCTTTGATACCATTACAACTTGGGAATCCATCATGTGGACCCCTAATAAAACCAACTAAAGAAAACTGAAAAGAAAAAAATATAGATAGAACTCTATGTCAAGTCAGTAGAGTGATGATGACTGTCTCTACTCAGCACGAACAATCCCTAAGCCTGAATCCGATGAACACCTGAAAAATAATAATGGGTCAGGCCCACGAACAAGTTATACTCTACTATAATCCAAGCAGAGATCTGATACATGTATACATCCTAATCAACTTAACAATAACTAGTAGTTCATATATATTTAAATACACACTAAAGGAATCTCACTGGACTATAGGGTTACCTCAACCTGAATAGTAAGCAGCATGCAAAACGAACATATAATGGGCATGAGTACCTAAACCTACCAGGGCACACAACTACACTATATCTAGTTACACATCCCTGACAATATTGTAACGACCCAGTCATTTGCCTTCCTTTCCTTTTTTCTGAAATTTTACAAATGAAATTTTTTCGTTTAATTTTCTTTTTTGAGCTCTGTTTCATGTCACTTAGTGTCATCTCGAGTGCTCGGAATTGGTTCCCGAGACTTTTTTCCGTGGATTGACAACTTCCTTTGAGGACCGAGTCATTTTCACATTTTTCGTTTTTCGACACTATTCACTTTTCGTCATTTTCCCTATTTCATCCTTTTCCCTATTTTGTCTTTTCCCCGTTTGACACTTTGTTGGCGTAACCACACTTCTTGTGTTCGGAGTTGGTTTTTGACTTCATGTATCTCCATCTTGAGTGGTTTCCACGAAATACGTATCTTTACTTTTGTAAGAAAGTACTCTGGTTGCTCCCGATATCCATAGGGGCATGGATGCAAAGTTCTTTGAAATTATTTTCTTTTCTTGGGGTATTTTTCATAAATATCTTTTGAAGATATTTTATTTCAGGGGCATTTAAGAAAATATCTTTTGGAAGATATTTTCATTCTGGGGCAGTTTCGCAGTTAACCCTTTTTGTAGGGGCCATTGTGCAATTAACGAAAGTTATTGCAAACTGTCTCGTCTGGAGCTTGAATCCTCGTATGGGATTCATTTTCACATTTCGTCGAGTCGTGGACTCTTAGAATTCCGTTCTGGTCGTTTTTCTCCAGTTTCAGAATTTCTGGACCTAGTTGCCGCCGAACTTGTTTGGGGCATAACTTTCTGCTCGGGACTCAGTTTTTGACACCGTTTCTTCCGTTATTCATATTTTATCATTTTGAATCTTTTTCATTCACAAAGTTTTGCCATTTGAGTGAGTCTGCTCAAATTTTACTTTTTCAGACCCGGCGGGGTCCGTTCGGGGCACTTTTTGAGATTTCTATAAAAGGGGGGTGAGATATTTCATTTTTCATCTTCTCCCCTCTTCATGCACGACCTGGAGCTCCCATGGCAGCCCAAGGGGTGCTGCCATCTTCTCTCTCCTCTTTTGGTTCACTTTTCATTGATGGAAAGTCTTCGGCCTTAACGTTTGTTGTTCCCCTCGCCGTGCTCTACCTTTCCCCCTTATTAGAATTCAGTTTTGACCATTTCTTGAGTTTGGTTTTGAGGTCAAGTTATGATTTTGATGGGACTTTCATGGGGGTTATGTTCACGGCGTTGTCCCCAATAAAACCTCTCGGTATCGTCGAATTCGGAGCACTTTTATTTTGGTGGGCCTTTGGGATTTTCATCTCAAATTGAGGTAGGAGATGTTCTAGGTTTAAATTCTTGTTATATAGCATGCTTGTGATGCTTATACTACTTATTTGCATGATTAAATATAAAATCTAGAGATTTTATTATTTATTTTTCTTGTACGGGATCTAATTTTTCTGGTTGCTCATGACTTGGTTTAAACATGTAGCATGATTTTATATTGCCCCTTGATATGCTCATTGTCGTGTATTAAAATTGGAACATTTGAATAAGTATTAAAGATTTTATTTAATATTTATCTTAGGTGAAAGATTAATTCACATGGCCTTAACTAGCTTGAAATTAATATGTGTTAGCATATTATATTAGGCCTTAGCATGTTCTTCAACATAGTTGAATTTGAAAGTAATTGGAGGTGTTTTGAAAATTAGTAATTATTAATTAAGTTGATTAATTAATTTGCCCCGAGTGCACTATTCACTCTATTTGAATTCCGACCTGATATTCTTGATCTACATGCCATATAGCTTCACATATATTTGATTTAAAATATTCGGTGAGGTTTTGAAACCTTTCATTTAATTAATTTCATTGTTTAAGATTTAATTCTCATGGTGATATACAACTTGGAATTGAATTGTGGCATGCTAGAAAATTAAGTTTTGGTGTGGTTATTCACATATATTAAATTGGGATTAATTGCATGAGAATTGCAACCTTTATTTTATATTTAACTTTAGTGAAAGTTTAATTTACATAGGTGTAACTTGCATGAAATAAGCTTGTAATGTGATATTACATTAGTCCTTAGCATGTTCTCTAAGATATGTTAAATTGAGAGCATTTGGTTAAGTTTGAAAATCTAGAGATTTTAATTAAAAGAATTAATTAAAATCTATTTTGTGGTCCCATTAGCTTAATTAAGATTTTAACTTGATATTTGTATTGGCCATGACTTGTTTACTAGTATATATTAATTGTGGACCATTTGAAGTTGCTTTAGAACCTTGGTAATTAAATTAGCATGATTTAATTAGAGTTCTACTTTGTTGTTCCAATAACCTAATTGAGTTTTAGAATGGATATAGGTGATGACCATGCCATGTTCTTTAATATGTATTAACTTGAGGTTATTTGGAATTGAATTAGAATCTAAGGAATTTAATTATTTTTATTTAATCAAATTCTATCGAATTAAGATATAGATTTAATTGTGTTTGAAAGTCGTTTCTATATCAAAATTCTGGACATGGACTTGTTGTATATTTATTTGGTTATGTTTTGAGCATTGAATAACATAGTTGCTATGTTTGTACTCATGAGAATATGTTTTTCTTATTGAATATATTATTGTCTTGTGTAATGATTTGCACACTTCGTATTTAACATCATTCATGCATAGCGTGTAACGAATCGCACACTGAAGATTCGACTTTCATCACATCATATTAGTTGTGGACTTAGAGCATGTATTGTATAGGTTTCCAAATTTGGTTGTGCTTAGTAGATAGTTGATTATCTTGTATATTCCTATTGATATATGCGTTGTTGCACAACTTGTTGATTTTGGAAACTTGGGGATGTCGTTGTTTGACTATGGCTAGGACGTGGTTCTAGTACGGGGGGTAGTCTCTCTATATGGTCTAGTACGCACGTAGGGAGGTTACCCATGGGCTAGTAACCCTAAAGTAACTATGTTGTCGGTCTGATCCGGCGTGACGTCCGAGTATCCACTTTGTTTAATTTCGCATTTCATTTTCAAGTTGATAACTAGATGATGTTGTAACTTGTTGTTTCTTATTTGTCGTTCCATTTTAAGTTACAGGATGTTAACTGTGCGAAATTGTGCTTTATGCTTTGTATTGGAAGTTCCAATGTTGGTTAAATTGCATCGATATTGAAAATCGTGTTTTGATGTTCTAATAAAGCTTAGAATTGATCCTATTGATTCATTTATAACATAGACGTTAGGTGGCATGAACCACTACTGTTATTTTGTGCTTTAGATTCTAAGTTGATGGCTTTGAGAACTTAAACCTTGTTGCATTGTATAACATGCTCTTTTGTTGTTGAATTGTATGGATAATGTGATTCTTGTTAACTTGTATTCAAATATGCTTTTGTCATGTTGGATGGATTACTCTAGACCTAGTTCAATTGTATTGAAAATGCAATTCATGTTAATCTATGCTCAAGCATTGTTCTTGTCGTGTTCTTTGGATTATCTCAACCATGATTCGTTTCATACACGTATGTATATCATGATTCTTATTGCTTAGACTCTAAGGTAGCTTAGGATGCTTCCCGAGTCTCACTTAGACATAGACGTTAGGTGGCATGAGCCCCTTTAACATGTTTCACCTTAAGGTGATAAATTTGTAAAATGCTATGTCGATGCATGCTCATCTCCTACGAGTAGCTTTATGTTACTCACCCCTACGATACTGGGACATATTTCAGGTACGAAGACTTGGTTCGTGACGCCTAGCATTCCTTTGATGTCGTGTAGCTTTCAAGTTTCAATTTCATACAAATATTAGCATGAAATGTCATTTTGTAGACTTATATATCAAAATATGTATATTTGATTCCATGTATGTAATGTGTACTTAAGTACACTCTTTTCAATGTATTTAATATGTATGAGATGAGGCCGGAGGCCAATGACATGTATATTGTATTCTATACAACTTTTTAACTTCATGAAATGTTATGAAAACCTTGAAAAATTGCAAGTCATTGCTTCACCATGGTTGCATCGGGTGTGGGAATTCCATTCTCATTCTTTCATAGGGTCTCATAAATCATGTTTGAAGTGTGGCCAAGGGCCAAACGGTCATTTGATCCCGTTTTGTATTTTTGGATTCCATGTTTTCCATTCCAAGTCCATTTTTGCCTTTTTGCCCTTTGGGGGGTCGGATTTTGCATCGGTTATATTTTTAAGTCGTGGATCATTTTAGCATGTCCAAATAGGTACGTTATGTTTGCATGCATGGTCGTTTCTAGGCAAAACCTTATCGTTTGTGTTTTGAGCCTCCTACGATTTCATTTTGCGTTTTCGTTGCATATTCTGATCTAGGGGTATTCTAGACTTTTTAATTCAGTTTTATTTCCTTCTTTCAACATGGTTGAATAGAAAATATGATTTTAGGGGGGGGTTTTTTTTCGTGTTTTTCCAGAAAATGTCGTCTTGGCATCGGAAATCGCTTACAAAGTTCAGCTTTCAGTTTTCTATTTAGCAGCTTTTTCGACCCTCTGGACCAGATTTCTTGGGAGGACATTTTGGGTATTTTACATTGAGTTTTTTTTTTTGAATTCTTCGCATGTCACGTAGAAAACTCAATTTTGAGGGGGTTTTCTTCTTTGTGTTTTTGCAAAAAAATTCATCTAGGCCTCCAAATTCAGCTTCTGTTCTGGATTTTTCTGAAAAATGACCCCATAGCAGCTTTTGGGCTGCTGGCAGCCGTGTGTGCGCCCAGTGCGCGCGCGGCGTGCATGGGCGCACGCATGGGCGTGCATGGGGGCTGTCATGGCCCCCCTCGTCAGGCCGCCGCGACGTCAATTCTTCTTTTGGGCTTTTCTCCTTCGTCCGGACTCCGATTCAAGTGAATTTTTTTTTGAACTTGACTAATTTTTTGCTGTCTTTCCAACGGTGTGCTCGGTTGTACCCAGTTCTTCCTGGATAATTACCAGTTTACCCCTTTTGCCTTAAGTGCTCGTTTTTCTTCGTCATGCCGTTTCTCCTTCGTTCGGACTCCGAATCATGCGATTCTTGAGTCCATCTTGATTAGTTTTTCATTGTCCTTCCAGCGGTGTGCTCGGTGGCACCCGAATCAACAGTTTTCAGAAATGACTATTTTGCCCCTGGGGGCTTCTTTGTCATATTTTTGATCTTTTGCTTCCGCATCAGTTCTTGTTGAGTTCCACGAACTCATGGAAGGTCATTTTGACTTCTTAGAGTCTTATTTTCTGTCTTTGCTTCCGCATTCGGATCCGTTATCGGATCATCCTTACGGTTCATCACAGGACACGCTGGCCTAAAAATCAGAGACGTCACAAATATACTCCCCCTAACCAATGATCATAAGACTAAAGCTCATATCATGGCATATAATAATATATAAAATCTGTATAAGTATAAAATAAAATGTCGTCCATTTGATGCAGAGGCCTGACATAAATAAGTAGGACTTAATCCCCTTGGTTAATCCATTCCCTTATAACAATAAATAGGTAGGATTTAACTATTCCGTTAATCCATCCCTCAAATGACACCATCCCATACTGGTGCATTTAAACCATACAACGATTCAAATAAATATAAATACATCCATTGATCCAATATAATGACAATATTATTCATATGTTAAATCTTTGTATATAATTAAGCAATAATAATAATCCTAAGTAGCATGCATTTAATTTACATCAAAAGAAATTAACATGTATCTCAAATAGATTATTTAAACCTCCACAATATGATTAAACTATTTAAATCCAGTTATTTGATCAAAACAGTTTAATAAAAATATCCATAAATTAACCTTTATGTTAATTAAATTCCAAACCTAGCATATTGTTAAGTATTATGCATTCTAGTTATGTGTCGGGTCTAATAAATTCCTTAAAATTATTTAAACAAACCCAACTACCCCTAGGTACGAACCCCCCATGCCAAAATCCTACATTAGGCCAACATAGTCGATGGTTACAGGAACCGGTCGACGTGTTTCCTCTAGGCGTTGATCGATTTTTCAAAATTAGTCGATATGAATCACCAAGGCATCTACTAGTTCTCCCAATCCGGTCGACGTGTTTCCGTAGGCGTCAACCGGTTCATACAAACCGGTCGACGAGTTCCCAAACCAGTCGACGTGATCCTGCGGTCCTTCGTCTTCTTCAGCTCCGGTGACTCCGTCTTCCTCCGTTAAGGGTACTAAGGCTACTGTTTTAAGTTCCAATTAACCCTAAACATTACGTTCATCCATTATACATAATTTAAACAAGTTTAATCAAGAATCATGCAATAAAATTTCCAAATTAATCAACAAATACACATATAATTAAAACACTGTAATTCATCTTTTAGTCTGCATACATGGTTGATTTTAATGATTTAAAGTCCCTGGAATTGTCCTAGGCCTATATAGAACACAAATCAAAGGGAGAAAGATAGAGGTAAAACTTGCCTCAAGATTTCGGATTGAAATCTTAACTTCTTCTTCCTTAATTCTGGCGACCTTTGGCTGCCTCCGAACTCCTCTGCTGATCCTGGTTTAACCCATGAACAACACTCATTCTTCCTCTCCTTAGTTCGGCCTTGAATCCTTGGTCAAAACCTCCTTCCTCTCTTCCACGTTCTCTCTCAAAACTCTCTGGTCTTTCTTTCTCTCTCTGCCTCTATCTAATATAACGTGAAATCCCAAACCCTAGCTGACCTATACTTATATATATACTATACTCCTAATCCTCTCCCAGTTATAATTACCTTAATGGTCAAGAAAGAAAACGGAAAAATATAATTATACATATATATAAGTTTGCTAATACTAACGCGGTTCTGCATATACATATATAATTATTAATGTTATAACTATATATATATATATAATATATATATTATATAACTAACTATAGTTATATTAATAATAACTACTAATAACAATTAATAATTATAATAATCATATATACATATATACCCATATATATATGTACATCTATCAATGGGTAATTATCTGTACCCATTAATCCTCCTATCCAAGTAGTCCATGTGACCCATTGATTAGTCCATTACTACTATCCAAAATCATTAAAAATAAAATAGAACAAAATAAAAACAACCATTTAAATCATTTAATTCCTAACAAATAATTACAAGTAAGTACCTAACATTCAACTAAATTAATACTTATCATTTAGCACACAAAAATTAATTAAACAATTCATTTCAAATAAACACTTAAGCAATTAAATTAATTAAATAATTAAACAATTAGCCACATAAATAATTAATCAAATAAATTGCAATTAAAACAATTAAATAAATACCGAGACTATCTTTTTAAAATTAGGGGTATTACAGGAAGCCTTAGCTGACCCTAGGTGGAAAGGAGCTATGACCGAGGAGATGAAATCTTTGAAAAAACAAAATGAAACTTAGGAACTCATTAACCCTCCACCAGGAAAGAGACCAGTCGGATATCGATGGATTTACACTGTGAAGTATAAAGCCGATAACACAGTTGAATGCTTTAAAGCGAGATTAGTGGCGAAAGGTTACACCCAAGCCTATGGAATCGATTACACAGAGACATTCACACCTGTAGCCAAAATCAACACAGTTCGGGTCTTGTTGTCTTTAGCTGCGAACTTGGATTGGCCATTACAACAATTGAATGTCAAGAATGCCTTTTTGCATGGTGAATCATCTGAAAAAGTTTACATGGATCTCCCACCAAGATGTATGATACTCGAAAAGCATAATTAGAAAGTGTACAGGTTAAAGAAATCGTTGTATGGGTTGAAACAATCTCCGAGAGCATGGTTTGGAAGGTTCACAAAGTCTATGATAGCCTTTGGCAACCGTTAGAGCAATTCAGACCACACTTTATTCCTGAAGTAGCAACAGGGGTAAGATAACTGCATTCATTGTATATATGGATGACATGGTGGTTACAGGGAATGATCCTAAAGAAATTAAGGTTCTTAAGAATTACTTGTCTAGAGAATTCAAAATGAAAGATATAGGTCCTTTGAAATATTTTTTTGGGATCGAAGTATCTCGATCTACTAAAGGAATGTTTTTATCTCAAAGAAAATATTCCTTAGATCTATTATAAGAGACTCGTATGACAGCATGTCAACCAGCTAATACACCAGTGGAAGAATGACTGAAGTTATGTGTTGAGTCCAACCAAGTACCTACTAATAAAGGAAGATACCAAAGACTTGTAAGGAGATTGATGTACTTAGCACACACGAGACCGGATCTGGCTTATGCATTGAGTATTGTTAGCCAGTTTATGCATGATCTTGGAGAGCAACATATGAATGCAGTTATATGCATTTTGAGGTATCTAAAATCTGCTTTTGGAAAAGGAATTTTGTTCACAAAAGGGCTGATTATCAAAGCATAGATGCATATACTGATGTTGATTGGGCTGGAACCATAGATGATAGGCGATCTACCTCTGGTTACTCTACTTTCATAGGAGGTAATCTTGTTACAGGGAGCAAGAAACAAAATGTTGTTACTTGCTCAAATACAGAAGCTGAATTTAGAGGTATGGCGCTTGGACTTTGTGAAGCATTGTGGTTAAGACTTCTCTTGCGGGATTTAGGTTATCTACCTAGGCAACTGATTCGACTATATTGTGACACTAAAGCAGGTGATATTGCCTATAATCTAGTTCAATATGATCGTACGAAGCATGTCGAAATATACAAATTCTTCATTTAGGAGAAGTTAGATGAAAAAATTGTGGAGTTGCCTAAGATTCGATCTGACGATCAACTAGCAGATATTCTCACCAAAGCAGTTTAAAATCGAGTGTTTTCAAAAAATTTAGATAAGTTGGGCATGTGTGACATCTATGCACCAACTTAAGGGGGAGTATTAAGATTTATCTCTCTTGTAATCTAGGATTGTACAGATTATATAGCTGTAGGATTGACTAATTTGTAGGTAATTAATTTCCCAATTCTTGTATAATTAGTTACCTAATTTGGCTAGGTT